TATATATATATATGTATATATGTATATATATATGTATATATATATGTATATATATATGTATATATATATGTATATATATATGTATATATATATGTATATATATATGTATATATATATGTGTATATATATGTGTATATATATGTGTATAATGTGTAGATGTGTATGTATATGTATATGTATATGTATATGTATTAGTTTGTAAAATTATGTTAGGGAGGATGACATACTGGGGAACTTGCTGGGGTTCAACTTGTTGGGATGCATGTTTTACACTGCAAACATTGCTTTAAGCCATTAACACACAAGACTTTGCTCTTTACAAGTAAAATTCTTTGGTGTTTAGAAAGCAAAAACAAAAAACTCTGGCATTAGACAGAATAAAATGCTAAATTGGCTAGGTCACATGGAGTTGCATTACCTGTTAAAGGGTTAACAAGTGATAGGATCCGAAGGGGTTGTGCCAGTATGGGTAGCAAAAGCTTTTTCTTATAAAGTTATTTGAGTTTTGAAAAGCCACTCAGGGAATAACCCAATAAATGTATGTATGTATGTGGCAATACAGTACAGGAGGTGTTTAATGTAGGTTATTCAACTACCTGTATGGCTGAAAGATAAAGCAGAAACAACTGATACCATGATATTAGTCATTTAGCATTTTAGAAATTAATGTCGACAGCCCCTCAAACATACCTGGTTTTGAATAACTGACTCCAGTTCTTTCAGAAAATCAAGCTGTGCTCCTTCTACTGGTTCAGGGGTTCGAGTAATATCGCATAGCTTGTTTATATCATCTTTGCACTGCTTGATGAGATAGGAACCTGGCAACTCCTCATTCCCAGGGAGCATGGATAGCTCATGGTACGCTTGATCACCAATGCAGAATTTATCGAGGATAAATAAAACATATCTGGCTTTCTGCTGATCCGCTTCAGCGAAGTCTTTATAAGATTTTCTAACTTTTTCAGAATAAGTCAAGTTGTGATTTGCACCATGCTATCCTTGAAAATGGCGGATTGTAAATCCAATCCAAATGTTTTGGCAAACCGCAAGGCCTTCTCAACATTTGACTTGAGCTCAGTCACCTTTCTTCTCTGCTGACACTCACAAACTTCTGAAAGTGTCCTGCCTTTGTTTTTAAAGTCCAAGTCTTGGCCAAGTCCCTCAATATAATCCTCTAGACTGTGGTTTTGCTGTTTGAGGTCTTGGATTTCAGCATCCTTGGCAACTCTCTCAGCCACTTGAGCCTCATTCACATTTTTTACTTTCGTGTTGTGCTGTTCCATTAGGCTGTCTTTTTCCTTTTGAAGGTCTTTGTTTATCGTTTTCTGCTCGTTTAACTTCACATCCACGTCTGCCAGCATCTCTAATTCCAAATCCTCCATCTACAAGGCAACATTCACTTCTTCCTGGGCGAGATTTCTGTAGGCTGCACCATTCTAAAACCAGTTCTTCCGTAGAGATAGGCGTTTAAAATCTCGACAAAGCTACAAGGATTTTGCTTCACCAAAGCTTCCTGTCAAGCACTACACCAAATCCGAACACACTCGTAGGGCAAGTGAGCAGTGAGAATTATATTCTTATCTGCAAAACATTGGTGTCGTATATATTTGATACAGTGATGGGTATCAACACGAATACAAGACTTAAATTTATCAAAATTCAGAGATTTTAACAGTTCCTTTGACAAACCAATCGACATTTTCTCTCAGAAGTAGTCAGAACATCTCTCACCGTGGGGGGTCTCAACTCATCTGAGCATGATAATACGTGTGGCAATGCTGACCAATAAAGTTGTGGATTCAAACTGTATCTAAGCAACGTTTACAGAACGATGAAGTGCATTTGTCACTCTACATTTTGGTACGAAATATGATCGGCTATATTTTGGGTTGTATTTACGCAAGAGAGTTCGCTGTTTAACAGTAAATAATGTGACTTTTGCTGTTCTGTTCGTTCTATAATACTGAATTACTTATGGATTTTTCAGTCGAAAAAGCAGAGCTGCTGTTCAACGTGCCTCCATGCAAAATGGTGGAATGATAAGAGTATGTATATTTCCAACTTTCCAAACTTATACCGATTCCAAAATCCAAACCTTGTAATCGTATCGAGAATTATCGGTCAATCTCGGTAATTCCGGCTATATCTAAAGTAATTGAAAAGCTGGTTTATCATCAACTATTGACCTATTTAGAGAACAATAACCTCCTAGACGAGAGCCAATTTGGTTTTGGTAAAGGACACTCTACTGAATTAGCAGCAACGTTATTTACTGACAATGTAAAAAGAAAAGTTGATGAAGGCAAATTGGTAGGCGCTGTCTTTATTGATCTGACAAAGGCGTTTGATACTCTTAACCATCGAAAACTCTTAAGTAAGTAAGCTGAAAAGCTATGGTATATTGGATAATGAATATCAATGGTTTCAAGACTACCTTTTTAATCGAACACAACAAGTACTATATAAGGAATGCTTATCTGCAACTGGAAATGTTACGTCTGGCGTCTCCCAGGGGTCTATTCTTGGCCTCCTTTTCATTGTTTTCTTCAATGATTTTTCATCTTGCCTTAAGCACTCAAATGCCACAATTTATGCAGATGATACAGTAATCTATGTGGCTGGAAAAGGCACCTTTATCATCGAAACTCTCATTTGATATGTAAGCAATTGCCGAATGGTGCGTTGAAAATAAATTGATCTTGAATACTAATCCAGGCAAAACAGAATCAATGATGTTTGGTACTGCCAAGAACCTTGCACAACAACCGCAGTCTTTGAAAGTAACATTCAGAAATCGATTGATCAATGCTACAACGACATACAAGTACCTAGGTGTCCATATTGACCATTCATTGAATATGAACTCCAACTTTAACATCATATATAAGAAGGCCTGTGGAAGATTGAGACTATTACTAGAGATAAGACCCTTTCTCAATACACTGGCGGCAAAGGCGATTTATCAAGGGATGATGGTACCCATTTTGACTTACTGTGGTCTAATAAATTTGCACTTAAGCCAGTCAAGAGAGGATAAACTTCTGGCATTTCACCATTGTGCTTTGGATATTATTAGGTCAAATACTAAGTATGAATGTGATATCAAATTCACCTTCCATTGTCAATCAAATAAAAGCCTGTCAGATGGTTAGAAATTGTCTGGATGGAAATGTCTGCTCCAATTTTATGAACTACTTTGAGATAAACGCACGTGAAAGATCAACCCGAAACAGTGGATATAAACTGAAACTACCAAAAATCTGATTGGAATATAGTAGACAATCCTTTTACAACATGGGGGCAAAACTTTATAATGATTTGCCTTTAAACATTCAAAAAGCAGAAGATCACAAATTGTTTAATAAGCTTCTAAAAGTATATTTTTAACATTTTTAACATTTTAATATTCATAATATTAACATTTTAGCTTATTAGTGCATGTTTAGGTTTAGGTTTTTAAGTTTACATACAGTATTTTACAGGACTCACAGTCTCACATTGATAACAGTCTCTTTGGACTGAAGTGATTTATATCCTGTATAAATATTCGATTAATAATAATAATAATAATAAATAATAATAAAACTAAACGATTTTGGCAACTGTCGATTGTTGACTAAGTAATATGATTGAAGTGTTGGAAGCTTGGCTTTCCGAAAAGTGTGGTATTTCTCCATAACATTACAAGGGTTATAACATATTTGTATTTTTATTTGTGAAAAGCAGGGCGAGTATAATACTGGTAGCCTATTTGTGCTATTCAGAGGCTTGTTATTGATCACCAAATGCTAATTCCATTTCGGCAAATAATCAAATAAGCTTTGTTATCATTGTATCTGTAATTATTTTATTCTCTCGTACATTAAACATAGGGATTTAGTGGAAATTTTTCGCGCCCATGTAATAGCAAATGTCCGCGATTTCTGGCCATGCCTCCATTCGATTGACAAATAAATTTATTGTTGAACTCTTCAAATTCCTTCATCGTGGCAAATATGTGGATTTCTGACCAATCTTTGTCTTTCTTAGGCACAACGTTGCTAAGAATAGCACAGGATCTGACAGTAAGGCTTTCATTAATATACAGCTTGGAATTGTGATGGAAGCAGATATCCTGAGAAGTTTTTGAACCAAGATTACACTTTTTCTTGTATATTGCATTGTGAATATCACGCCTGATGAACTTGGCGATGATCGGTTTAAGGCTTTCTTACATTTGTAGGCAAGCGATGACTTGTCCATATGTCTGCTTCAGTGAGGTTAGTTCTGGGACAACCAAATTCGCAACTTTGCACTACAAGTTTATTGGTATTCTCAGTTGAGCTTGCAGGGACTACATGTATTTCTAACAAATCCCAACGCAAATAACACTTCATATTCTCAGTTTCGGTATCTAGAGAAATGTGTTGTTTCTCTAAGGAAACAACTTGATTTTGTAGCTGGGTGTTGGCTATGTGGAAGCTCTTTATTCTCGTCTTCTAATTTATTTGTCGAGGCAGCCAGCTTATCAAACTTTGTGGAGAGAAACTCTTGGTTTTGCCTTATAGATTCCAATTCCGATTTAGTCGTATCAGTAAATTTCAGGACAAGATCGTTAATTTGGGCCAATTGCAGTTTCAATCAGCTATCAAGCAGACCTTCTAGACCAGAAAGAAGGGTTGCCAATGTTGGCTTTCTCGTCCAAAACTGTGTCTTTGACCATTTCAATCGTTGACTCGCTATTTACTGGTTTCTTGTTATTGGGAGGCATTATTTTACACCTATATTACATATGTGTAATATAGAAGACAGAGAAGTCAAAACTCGATCAAATTAAAATAATTTTACAGATATTACAGGAGCTCAAAACTATGTCTGTCTTATATCTCATATATACAACCTAATTTTTTTTTTCTTATGTAGAGAAATAATTTTTTTGCAATATAGGTTCAAGTTTTTTTTATGCGTCCAAAAATACAGCAAATATTTTTGTGACTTTTATGTATGAATTGGAACAAAAGAGTTCCAATAGCATTTCCGAGTTCCTAGATTTCAAAATTTCCCGGGTGAGGATACCCCAGACTCCCTTACATGTTGGGCATCAGTCAGCCTAGGAGCTGGATCTACCCCTGGTATCGACCCATACCAAACTTCTACATATCAGTATCGAATTAAAAATCCTGGTATCGGCTAGCCTACAGTGTAGACCCCAGCAGAAACACGTTTTGTGAGGGGTCTACGAATAAACGAAAAGAAAAGCTTGCCTGGCCTACGTCATATCCGTTTTACGTTTTGGGTAAATTAACTTCAATTTATTCAAGTTTCTGAAGCATCAAGCGTGTGTAAATTTTCATTTGGCGCTTATTAAAATTTTCATGGCGGGCTTTGTGCAATAAAATATACCCTGGCTATATATATATATATATATATATCTCAAACTCATTAATAATTCATGAGCAAATTAGCGAATGAACTCACCCTAATTCGTCACATGATTGAGGTTGGATACCGCAAGGAAACACGCTAAAAATCATATACCATCACTGTTGTTAGATGAAAAACGGTTTTCATCTAATATAACTGAGATCCTAATTACAAATTCAAGTCAAAACACAACAATATACTATAATAATATATATAAGCCAATGAAATGTTTTCGTTTGAGATGTTGTGTAAACAACTCGTTTCTCGTGTTTCATCAGGGGACCAAACACTCGAAAACAATAAAACACTCGCGCTTTGCGCTCGTGTTTCATACAGTTTTCTCGTGTTTGGATCCCCTGATGAAACACTCAAACTCGTTGTTTACATATAACATATATATATATATATATATATATATTTAAACAACCATTAAACACATGTCCGAATGGACTAAAAGGTTCTTGTCATTTGTACAAACTGTTAGGCTGTTGAAGGCTTGAAGCTTGTCAAGACATCCAATTTCTGAAGCTGAAGGCAAAGTCGATTTCACACTAAATGTAGCGGGCATAAAAGCTTTAATTTATCGCAAGTCGGCTCGAATCCCAGTTTCCTCACAACATTTCGCTGCACTTTAAGCGGTACACCGATAGTGTTTAATACCGTTTCGTGCATGTGTTATCTTATTGTCTAGGCTCTAGCTCACATATTAAACTGTTAAAGGAAAGGTCGTCTAACTCCTTACGTGTACAGTCTCCTTGCCGACCACGAAATTAATATTGCTTTTATTCGACAGTACATTGAAATAAAGAACACATTTGTATTGCACAAAGCCCGCCATGGAACATTTTAATAAGCGCCAAATGAAAATTTACATTTACGCATGCTTTACTGCTTCAGAAATTTGAACAAATTGAAGTTAATTTATCCAAAATGGATATGATGTAGGCCGGGCAAGCTTTTCTTTGTTTATTCGTAGACCCCTCACGAAACGTGTTTCTGCTGGGGTCTACACCGTAGGCTAGGTATCGCCCATCACTAGGAAAAATATTCACTTGTACAAAACCTTGCATATCTGGATACATGCATAATCAGGAAATTGTGAAGAATATTCCACTGTAAATAATCCTAGTTGGAAATGTAGTACAGTGCATTAGGAATGTGTTTACTGCTAAGTAAACCATATAAAAGACAAAATTTATACTTTACAAATTCTCCATAGCATTAAACTGAAACTACAGTCACACATCTCTCTGGATTATTCTACCAGTAGACTAAGTAGAATGGTCTAGCTACAATTTGAATAAAGACGTATAAGAGCAAGTTATCTTTGCTACTTTCAATACAGATGATAAAAATGTGGCAAATGAATTTTTCACACCTGAATGTTTCATAAAATTAAGGTAATGGCTAGTGAATGCAAATACATGCCACAACAATCTTGTGTTCCAACAAGTTATCCAGACTCAGACAAATTTGCTTTCGAGGCTGTGGAAAGTTGTTTTGTTGAATATATTATTAATTCAATGGAGAATAATAAAGCTAAGGACCATTAAGGATTGTTTACCCACTATTCTCCCATGAATTTATAAAATAATGTTTGTTTGGTTGGTGGAGTTTTTCCAAGTGCTTGGAAGTTGCCAGAAGTGCATGCTTACAATAACAGACCTATATCACTTCTGCCAGTACTATCCAAAATATGCAAAAAATTGCATTTGTTCAATTGTTTTTCATATTTGGATATTTGGACATGCATGAAAGACTCTCCACCAAGCATTCTACAGAGACGACATTGATTCATTCTACTGATACTATTTTCAAAGCCATGGATCAGAAGAAAACAACTGCAGTGGTATTGTTGGATATGAGCAAGGCATTTGATGGGGGTAAGTCATTGTATACTATTAAGTAAATTGATAGATATTGGAGTTTCGTCATCATGTCTAGTGTGGTCCAGAAGTATTTATCTTGGAGATATCAGGCAATCAGAATAAACTCAGTGTTGTTGGAGAAATCACCAGTTGTAAGCGGTGTTCCACAGGCGAGCATCCTTGGGCCGTTATTATTCATTATATATGTGAATGACTTACCGTCTGTTAGTTAAAATTGTTTATCTGAATGTTATGTGGACGACACAAAACTCCTGATGTTCTTTCGCATAGAAAAATCCGGAATCGCCATGACGAATATCAATATCGACCTCCTACAAATATGCAATCCAAATCCTAATAAGACGAAACTGATGGTTTTCGGCAGTAGTCAGCAAATGATTACGAAAATACGAGATGTCAAGCTGTTGTCGTTGGGGAAAGAACTTGTAACTCATCGACCTTTGGCACCAGAGACATTACATTAGATAGTAAAATTGATGTCACAAAGTGATGATTAATTGGTTCTAAGGGTGATTGACTAGACCATAACATTTGGGAGAGATTTTTCGGGCACTATTTCCTTGGGAGAATTGCATTGGACTTGTACAAGGTTATGGGGCACTGTTGTTTTCTATGTATATTATATAATTTATTCCATCATTTCCAGCGTTACCATCGTTACCGTTACTCAGACCAATCTCATATGTGGGGGATGCCGATTTTTCAGTCTCGAAGTAGGTGCTATATGAAAAACCTGTTTGTTAAGATTGTTTTTATTACTAATACATAACTGGTTGTAATGAGGAATGGATACCTTTCTATTAGGTCATTGGCTGTTGTCGTTGGGTCTGCTAACATTTTTTATGTTTCTGTAGAGGTTTCTTCTGATTAGCCCTTTGTTGATTTCTACTAGTAATTCGAACAGGAATGTTTTTACTATTCATGGCATTTCTTAATTGGGGATTACTGGCATTGCTATTAGGATCATTATGTATGAAATATCGTTTATTATAAAATAGCCTTTTAAAAACATGGGCGCTGATTGGTCAAAAGCTCAAAAAACCTGTGTTTCTATAACTTGATAGAAACACAGGGAATCTTCACGAGGGTTGCGAGGATTGCACGGGAGTTTAAAAGACAAAATACAAACAATATTTAATTGTGAAAAAAGTTGAAAAACGTCCCGAAACGCCGAAGGCAACACTTTGCTAACTTAGAAAGTGAAGACCTAAAGCACAACTTATAATTATAGCACAGGTTGTATCTGTTTGACTGTTTAGCAAGGTAAGATATTTTAATTTTACTTTGTCTTTTTTAAAAAACATTTCCTCGCAATATTTTTAATCATGTTACAGTAAATTTACTATATATAAAGAACTTAAATTTACTATAGTTTTTAATCATGTTTAAACGTTCACTAACTATTTAAAACAGTGCTTTCTTTGTATGCAAGCATGTACATTGTTGAGTGAATTATATACTCAGTAAAGTAAGGCCTGTTAAGTGCTGTCTGTTGTTTTGACAGTGGTATACTTGTTTTAATACTTTGCTATGCTTTTATAATTATTCTTTACACAAATGTATATTTAAGGTGGAATTAATATTTGAATGAAAGTAATTAAAAATCAATAAATTTATCTTTTCTATTGTTTTTAAAAGGCTGTTTAATAAAGGAAATAGACAACATTTTTTCTGTGTTCCTATAGAGTTTATAGAAACACTTGTGAAAGTTTGGGAGAAACTCAAAATTGTGTGGAAACACTCACACTTTGTGCTCATGTTCCCACGCAATTTCTTGTTTCTCCGAAACTTTTACGCGTGTTTCTATAACTCTATAGAAACACGGAAAATGTTTTCTATTTCTTAAAAGGTGTATGTAAACCGTCCAACTGTTTATCATTATTTTGGACAGGATTTTCTTTTATTCCCGCTTCAAAAGAAACATCTTTTATACCAACAATTGACATGATCATTATATTATCAGCATTGCGGTTAAGATCTTTGTCTAGAGATATATCATTCAAGGGTGTATGTGAATCATATAACAGTTGATCATTGCATTGGGCATGTTTATTCTTCTCTCCTGCTTCAGCAGAACCGCCTATTATGTCATTAGTGGTTTCAGTTAATGTTGAGGCATTCTTATTGAAATAACCATACCCACTCAACTCCTTTGCATTGTTTCTGCTGTTCTTAATAACTATTGTTTCCATTGTTAATGCATTCTCCATAGAATTGCCATAATATTTTGACTCCCCCGTTTGGTATTCATTCATACGTAGAAGTTTTTCTTGAATGAGGGTGGGAAAGGGTATTTTCGTGAGCCGTGAATGGTCAATATTTGTTCACGTGAAATTTTTTATTTTAGTGTCGTGAAATGTGAGTTGTTCTACAGCCATGAGGCGTGATTGTCAATAAAAATGCTCTGTGAAATGAGAATTAAGGATGCCTGTTTCGTGAACTGTGATTTTGTTATGTTTATTTCAATCTATTTCATAATAGTCATAACAGACATGATATACGCGATAATCAATTTATATGATCGATCTCACTCGATTGCACAAGAGTAAAAACTTTGGAGGCCTTTCCGAGGTCGTCCGACATACTCGTCACTCAAACTTCTAAGTTATGATGTAGTTTTTAACTAACAGGCAGAGAAGTGAGAGAATGTAAAGCTTAGACACTGTACCATGCATTGAACATACTCTAAATAAACCTATTATTATTATATTATTTTATTAGAATCTAGTTTTCTGTGAAATTGTTTTTTAAGACACGTGAATCGTGAAACGGCTTTTTTTTCTGTTGTGAAACGTGCTCCATACCCCCCTTTCCTACCCTCTTCAATAGCCGGGATTTTATGGCCAAACTAATCCAATTTCAAGCCTTCCAATACCGGTGACAATTCCGAACATACACAATCTGAAGAATGATGATTCTCTGCTGGCGTTTCATCAATAGAGTTGACAACATTCGTCGCTTTGTTCCTGATTGCATTTCCATTATCTACATCATTACTAGTACACATAGTACCGGTCAAATGTTTAATAATCTTCTTTGCATCTTCTCCTTCAATTGTAAGAAACTTCTTATTCTTAAGACATAGAATCTTAAGATTCTCTGTTACAAATAATAAATACAAGTAGTATCTTAATTTAATTTTTTGTAAATTGTCACTAAAAAGCCCCAATGTGGAATTGTCAATACTGCAGTTTGAGTAAGTAGTAGTTTAATGTGTACTCGAGTGAGATTGTCATTAAAACATTTGAACAGATTGACCACTTCTACAATATGGGGGTTAACAGATTGTCAGAAGATTTCTCCTCTCTCCCCCCCCCCCTTGTTACAGCAGACATTATATATAACCTCATGTATAGGGTTAGGGTTCTTTCTTGAAAGACCCATATTGCTCTGCCGAGGCTAGGCAATTTTAGTCCTGGCAACATGTGCCTGTAATATACATACTCACTACCTTGATGTGATTTTCATGTTTAACTGAAGAGTTAGGTATTTGGTTGGTAAGGTATGGGTTAAGACTTATTTGGCTCTTTTTTAGCCTTGTACACAGCCACTGTGTTGAAAAAAGGTACAACTTCATTGTGGAAAATCACACAAAGTTACAGAGTTGGTATATACAGACAACATCCAGGTGTTGAGCACTGATGGATCAAGCAGACATTCTGTAATTAAATGTCATAATTTTGTTAGCCCACTAAAACACAATGTAGCCTACAACACAGCTTACAGGAATGGGCTGCAAAAATAATTATCATATGTGATATGACCTATTTTTCAACAAATTGCCTCCTGCATGTACCAGGTGTCCCAAAAAAAACTTGCGCTGTTTGAATTTGTGTAAGGTAAAAGCTATTACACTGAAATAAATTTTATTGTATTCAGGAAAGGTTAACTTAGATTTTGATGTACAGCCCTAAAAATTTCATTCAATATTACGTGAGATACAAATGTTTGAATTTGGCGCACCCTTTAAAAATGAGTAAAAAAATCGAGAAACATAGCGGATCAAATTTATATGAAAACAATTGCCATTTTCCACAAAAATTAACAATTTCAATTCTAGCATTTCAACTCAACTTTAATTTTGAGTAATGTCCTAGTATAAGTTAGCCCTTTCATGTTTCTTAGGAAGCAAAATAAGCATGAAACATTTAAAAACGTTCGAAATCATATTTGACGCCCTTTAAGGTTACAGGACACCCTTTTTGGCGTTTTGTGGAAAATCGCTACTGCGCGCTCAAAATCAGTCCGATTTTCATCAAATTTTCACCAAATGTTAGCCAGTGCATGCAAAATATGATAAAGTTGTAAAATTGACAAACAATAAAATAATGTAAGACTAATTCAGGAAAATCTTAAGTCGTGGTACCTTTATGCTTTTGAGTTATGTTCCTGCTGGTTTTAAGATATATTTATGAAAATATCATTTTTATACAGTAAAATAGTTGTTCTAAAAAATTGTGTTCGGAAGTTTTTGTTTATTTTGTCATTCCGCTGATATGGCGATTTCTTTGACGACTGCAATATATTTCTGAATCGTTTGTGTGAATTGCTCATTATTAAAATATCCAAAATTAGAACAAAGCCGAACACCATTTTGAAACTGACGTCTTTAGCTATGTCCTGCGAAAATTTGAGAAAAATTTGTTAAAACCTGCAGGAGCACAACTCGTTTAAAAATCAGTAATTGCCGTAAAATTCTTCGGGAGAAAATTGAATTTGAATATTACATTTTCAATGTTTTCTTATTGCAAGCGAGATGTATTTTTTTAAATAACTCTGCGAGTTTTCAACATTTTTCGTCCAAACTTGGTCAGTAGAACTAGTCTGATGCTTTCATGGAAACCAATAAAAAATATTTTAGGCAAAATTAACACTCAAAGGTGTTCTGTAACCTTAATGGAGTTTGTATTATAAAGTTGGTCTTGGTGGTTCGCTTTTCGAATATGCCTCAAAAGATAAAAAAGTTTGGGTTTTATGGTTTCCCGTGCAAGACATTGTATATGTGAAAGAGGACATACTTTCTAAAACGAATGATTAAATTGGTTTTCCAACATTCCAAGAATGATATGTTTTTCATTCGTTCTTTTGGCCACAATAAAACTACTTATTTTTCACCCTGCTTGGTTTCCTTTGTTCTTATCAGGGAATATATTCAATATTCCCCTCTAATCAATTTCCGTTTAATAATCCCCTCTAATATTCACCTGCAATTAATAATCCCCTCTAATATTCACCTGCAATGTCTTTGCAGCACAAAAAAATGAGAAAAAACAACGTCACGAAGGCAATATGGCATTAAGATTTTACTTTTCATAGTGTATTTGTAATGCCTAATGGTGCAAAAGGATAAAAAAATACCACCGTTCGATTCAAATCGTACTAATTAGTAATTACGGATGTCAAATGTACAGTATTACTATAAAAAACAGTATTCTAGCGATTTATAGCCTTTGTCTTTGAAAGCCAAGCGAAATTGTTACTCTGAGTGTGTATCCACACCGGGAAAGCTTGAAAAATATCCAGGCATATTTTTCAAGCTTTCCCGGTGTGAATACACACTCAGAGTAACATCACAAACATCATATTTACCCTGTACACAATCGAAATTGTATTGCATTGAATTGACAAATCGCTCAAAATTATTAAACTAATTATAAAAAAATGCAGTATGTTTGATCCTTGACCTTGATATTAACTTTGCCTTTGGTATCATTGGTTTTCTCTTTTTCGGCCGTATACCAGTGGATTCGTCTGACTTCTCTCTTCATTTTGAGCCCAAAAGCCCCCAAATATTTTATTTTGAACGTTTTAAAGCGCAGTTTAATCCTAGCGTATGGACCAACTGGCGGCTGACAGTCTTGAAGAAATAGAATGTAGCGTACTAAATATAACTTTACTTGTAGGGTCTACCGCATTTTAGTACTGTGTTAAGCCTTTCGCGCCGGTATTCGACTTTTCCGCTTAGCTCGGGGAAAACCTTATAACTTCAACCAAGTCTAGTATAGTCCCAGCGAGTTAACGCTCCGTAGAGCGTCTTGTTA